TCATTTCATCTTGAGTCATCTTCATTTCCTCTTGGGTTTTTTTCATTTCCTCTTGGGTCTTACTCATATTGTCAAATTTGTCTTCCATTCTTTTTAGCCAACTTAAGATCATTACTCTGAATTCTTGCTCTGGTAGGTTGCTTGCCTCTATATCGTTTACTTCCTTTTCTGGTGAAGCCTGCTTTTCTTTCATATGCGGGCTGTTTTTTGGTCTCCCCATGATCTAGGATGTCTGGTTGTGTAGTTCTCTCTCTCCTGCTTTGATTTAAAGGCACAAAATACAACACAACCAGGTACAACACACAAGGCACTGAATAGAAATGTATTTGTGATATTAATAACCACCAATAAGGGTGACTAGAACCCAGCTAACAAAAACATACAATCAAACAAAAAGCATAGGCAAATCAATCTTATAAAAGAAAAGCATACAACTTCAGTAAAGTTAACATTCAACATACAACTTCAAAGAGTTAGAGAGAAAGACTGTTTTGTTTTGTTTTGTTTTGTTTTGTTTTTAGGACAACTGCGAGGGAGGTGTGAATGGGTTTGGAGCAGGTAGTTGGAAATTAGATATATACAAGTAGGGTGAAATTTTAGGAGGTGGTAGACAGAAGGAATGGGGGAAATCTAGAGCAGGAAAGGGTTAAGATAAACAGGGTATCAAAGGAAAAGATTGGAAAGAGGGTGAAGGCATAAAGGTAGGGTTGAGATAGAATAAAGCGTGGGAGAAAGAAGTATAGATAAAGACTGTAGAACAGTAATCCTGAAATTAAAAAAAAAAAAAATATATATATATATATATATTCAAATGAAATAAAAATAATAAAAATAAACAAAAGAAAATAAGATGAAAAAGGTAAATTAGTAGTAGTAATAATGTTGATTACATATACAATGTAATAATTATCAAGATAAAATCAAGTGAGGAAAAAGAAAAAAATAGTTTCTTGAGTAAACGTTGTAAATAATGAAAACAAAAATAAAAAACAAAAATTTAAAAATTAAAAAAAATAATAATAAAATTTTAAAAATTTAATTAAAATTTGCAGTAATGAAGGTCATTCGCTTCCTCTATTGTTATGATCCAGTCCTGATTTTTAGGCAGGTTTTGCTTTGTTTTTATTACACTAGAGTCAATTTGTGGATTAGCCTCTGGGGGCAGTGTTTCTAGGTTGACTTCCAGACTCTAGAGCACACATGTCAAACACAAGGCCCGCGGGCCAAATCCGGCCCGCCAGGCCTTGCAATGTGGCCCGCACTGCGCTGTCATCACTACACTCCGCTGCGTTCCATCACAATGACGTGCGGTGACATAGGAGGCTTGTGATCTCGCCGGCCGCCTCGCCGGCCGCCGTACTTGCTATCTATTATGCATGCGCATAGATAACAAGTCACTCGAGATTCAGGAGGCGTGACCTATAGTCCGGCATCTGATGTGATTGTGCGGGTGGCAGAGCAGAGGAGAGAGTGAGTGTGCGGGCATAAAAAATACACAGCAGAAGCTGCCAGTTCCTGGCATAAAGTGCAGGCATAAAAATCGCAACAGAATCTGCTATCTGTACCCAGCCAGGCATTTATTGACTGACTTTTTTTTTTCCACTCCATCTGCCAAATCAAGCTATCCCTGTGCAGTTTTCAACTTTTTCCTTCTAACGCAGATTTCCAATAAACTACATCTTTTACTGCCAATATTGATCCCAAAATGTCCAGGAAAAGAAAAGTTGACAGTGAAGGCAGACAATTCAATGACAAATGGGAAAATGAATACATGTTTGTGCTTAAAGAGGGCAAACCAGTGTGTTTATTGTGTTATGAGACAGTGTCGGTGATGAAAGAGTACAATATACGTCATCATTTTGACACCAAACATAATGTTAAGTATGGCAAATATACTTTGGAAGAAAAGCATAAAATTGTTAAAGAACTAAAAGGCAAACTACAATCACAGCAGCAAATGTTTACAAAGGCTACAGCGAAAAATGATGCTGCAGTGAAAGCAAGCTTTATAGTGGCTGAAGAAATTGCCCTTACTTCAAGGTGTTTTTCAGAGGGTGCCTTTTTGAAGCAATGCATGCTAAAAGTGTGTGAGCAAGTATGCCCAGACCAGATACAGAGTTTTCAAAATGTCAGTTTGTCAAGAAACACCATTGCAGATAGAGTTCAAGAACTCTCAGGAAATCTATCATCACAGCTGGCCGAACAGGCATGCAGTTATCTCGCTTTTTCACTTGCTATCGATGAAAGCACAGACAACACTGATACAGCGCAGCTGTCCATCTTTATACGTGCTACAAAGACCGACCTCTCTGTCACTGAGGAACTTTTGGATGTAGCTGCCATGCATGGGACGACGACTGGTAGAGATATATTTGAGGCTGTGGATAAATCTATAAATAATTTTAAAATACCCTGGGAAAAGGGGCTAACTACTGATGGCGCACCTTCAATGTGCGGAGAAAAGAAAGGCTTGGTTGGACTAATGAAGGAAAGAATGCAAAAAAGTCACTGCCACACACCCTTGATTACTTATCATTGCATTATCCACCAAGAGGCTATGTGTGGAAAAGTTCTGGACATGAATGACATAATGACCACAGTCATTAAAACTATTAACTTTATACGGGCATGTGGCCTGAATCATCGCCAGTTCCAGCAGTTTTTACAGGAGGTGGGTGCAGAGCATGGAGACGTGCCATACCACACAGAAGTAAGATGGCTGAGCAAGAGCGCAGTCCTCAAAAGATTTTTTGAGCTCAGAGAACAAATTGCTCTTTTCATGGAAAGTAAAGGAAAGCCCTTGCCTGAACTGTCGGATCCCGCCTGGCTATGTGATTTTGCTATGATGTGTGACATATGCGAGCATCTCGCCCAACTGAATCTGAAGCTGCAGGGACGCAAACAAGTCATCACGAAGATGTCTGACATGATCACAGCATTCCAGCGTAAACTTCAACTATGGAAGTCCCAACTGGAACAGGACAATCTTGCCCACTTTCCCGTTTGTTTGAGTATCTCAACCACTATTTCTGGTACTTTTCCTTGCAGTCGGCTGGCTACCAAAGTTAGCCGTTTACTAAGTGAATTTGAGCGGCGCTTCTCTGACTTTAGAACACAGCACTCAGGCTTTGACATCTTTGCCAATCCTTTTACAGTTGATGTCAACAATGCGCCCCATCACCTTCAGATGGAGATAATCGAGCTTCAGTCTGACAGTGGCCTGAAATCAAGGTTTCAGGATGTTGAAATTGAGGACTTCTACCCTCTACTGCCCCCTGACTCAATGCCAGAGCTCCGACTTCATGCTGCCCGTATTCTATCCATGTTCGGGAGCACCTATCTTTGTGAACAGATGTTTTCAATAATGAATCTGAACAAAAACAAGCACAGATCACGCATTACCGATGACAACCTCCATGCTGTTTTGCGGGTTGCTACAGCCCAAGAAATAAAACCGAACATTGACTCATTGATCCGGGGAAAACGGTGTCAGACATCTAGCCAGAAAACAAAACAATGAGCATTTTAGGTACATTCCAATATTACTGTTTTGCTTGATACCAATATTACTGTTTTGCTTGATAGCATGTGAGTTGGTTAACAGCACTGTTAAGGAAAAGATTGTTCCACTCATTTTAAATTCACATTTCTGGTTAACATTGTCAGTTTATGACTGTTCAGTAAACCATTCGGCCCGTGATTTAGGCTGGATTTTAGATTTTGGCCCCTTCTCTGATTGAGTTCAACACCCCTGCTAGAGCCTCTCCAGCTTTTTTTTTTTTTTTTTTTTTTTTTTTTTTTTTTTTTTTTTCTTTGTCCTCTCTGAAGCTGGAACTATGGAGGGGGGGAGGGGGCAGGTCCGAGCAACTGGAATCTCCCACAACTCTCCAATATCCCTCCGAGCCGGATCCAAATGTGTTGCTCTTTAGATATCTCCCCTGTTAGGAGCCCCGTCCACTTTCAAGGGTGACAACAACCCAACAGCGGGGGCTTCTACTTGTATAGATATCACAGCCCCTGTCCTCCAGCTTCCGCGAGCGCGCTCTGTGCGCGCAGGCTTTTTGTTTTCGCCACGAGCGCTCTCCACCCTCTCCCCGCGAAATCTGACCTTTTCGCTGAGCAGTGGGGCAATCCTGTGAGGGAAGGTGTTCGTGCCGCCTGGGATCCGCGTTCTGGGGGTCACAGATGCTTGGTGGTCGCTGCGGCTGTGGATATTCAGGCCTCTGACAGGATCCTATCTTCCTCTCAAGATGGCGAGGTTTCCCTGTCCAAGCCTGTAGGTAGCTCCGGGCAGGGACACAGCCCTCCTGGGTGCTTCCCTGTGAGGGGCACCTCTGTCAGCAGCCCCCCAGCAGTTTCTTCTGGTGTTCACTGTCTCCCAGCTTGCCGATAAACACTCACAGCACAAGACCCTCAGTTGCTCTCTCTTTCTGCTTCGGGAGAGGGCTCAGAATCCGCCCAACTATTCTTCCACCATCTTACCTCCTCGGAGAATTCTGTTTCTTTCCCAGTAAGCCATACTGCTGGTCATAGCATGTTCCTGGTTTCCTTGGTAAGAGGATGACAAGGTGGGGCAGTGTCCTGGGTAACTGACAGCACTCATGCTGAATGAGGACCTATAACAGAGAAAAACTATCCTTTTGTGCCTTTCTACTTTGTTTGATAGTTCAATGGTATTGGTATTGTTATGACCTGTTTCCAAGTCACAGATGTAAACCCGGCTGAGTAGGAAGCCTACAGAGAAAGAGTTTCTCAAAGTTCTATGGAAAACCAAGGCCAGAGTTAGAATTCCCTCTCACTGGCTCTGCTGGGGCCTCTTACGCCACTCCCTGTGACTCTGATGTAGAGCCATATGACATGGCACCCACAGATAACATGCCCAGAACTGAGATTCACGCCTTAGCTAGTGTATCTAGAGTCAGCCGAGGTGAGTGGGTAAGGCTGGATGTAAGACCCCCTCCCCTTTCAGTTCCACAAGCATTGCTTACTCTCTCTGCCAGGTGACAAAGAGTCTCCAGCAATCACGGACACTCCTTCTGGGAGTGAAGCTTCCTGTCCCTTCACCACGACAGGTACTACGACAGGTACTACGACAGGTATGGCTACAGTCTGTTTCTATGAAGATAGAAGCCTTTAAATCAAATGGGAGAGGGGGAAGACAGTTTGTCTGAAGCAGCCTCACCAGCATGGGCAGAGCTGCCCCATGGATGTTAAGATGATCAAGATCTGCATCCGACCTCCCAATCCTCAAAGGCTGGAAAGCAAGTGTCATAAAGAGACGATACCTTACTGAGGGCAGTGTCTTGAAGCAGAAGGAAATGCTTGTGCACGACCTGCCCTAGTCCTTTATGCCTCTTCCATTAGTCTCTGAGATTCTAGCTCAGGGGGAACCCTGGCACTTTTTTTTTTTTTAAATCAATCTTTATTGTTCATATTATTACAAAGGTTCCTCATTTCTTCCCCCTTCCACCAGGTTCCCACCCCACCCTCCGCCCCTTCCCCTCCCCCATTGTCCTCATCCATAGGTGCACAGTTTATGTTCAGTCTCTTCTTCCCTCCCTTTCCCTGATAGTAAATCCCTTTTCAGATAGTAAATCAGTTAGCATTTTCTCAAATCAATAATACCTCCACATGCCCAAAGATACACTTCACACAAAAGACATTTCCAAATAGGTCAACCAACTTCATCCAGGCCCCACACAAGGCACTCACAGATCAACACCCCAGCGCTATACTAACTCAGCACATCTAGATCTAAGCCTTTCCCACTTGATTCAGCAGACCCTCAAGTTCCCCCAAAAGTCTCCAGCCATATCTGAGAGGAAGCCTTGGGGTGGGGGCAGGTGAGGAGCGAGCTATTCCAGGCCTGGCTGCTCCGGGCCTGGCCTCTGTTGCTCTGGTCCGTTCCACAGCCAGCTGCTCCAGGTCTGGCCACTGCCACTCCCGACCTGGTTGCTGCTTGGCTGCTTGGCTGCTGCTGCTCCGGGCCTGGCCACACCCAACCTAGCCGCTCCGGGCCCGGCCACTCCGGGCCTGACATGGCACTTTTCAGCTGTGCAATCCAATAATTGCCTAAACAGAGCATCTTTCCCTTTCTCTTCTGCATAGGTTTTCAGAAATATACAGATGTGTCTACAACCACGGAGATGTTCATATTTACCATGGAGTATCAGATAGCAGGTAGGTCGGAGTCATTTCTATTATTAACAAAATGTATACCAGGCAGCGATTGTGGGGCATGTTGCTTGTGGGTGGGTGGGTTGGCTAGTTGTTTATCATGATCCCCTATTTACACTATATGTTTATAAGAGTAAAATACTAATGCAGAAATTGACATAACCTAAAATCACAGCGAAGTCTCAAACTAGCCTCATTCAGCTCCTCCTAAATGGATCCTAAATGACAAAATACCCCATGGCTGGAAGTGAGGGTTGAAGCAAAGGGGGAGGGAGAATGTATAACCAGGGAAAGAAAAAAAATTCCTAAAGCAGTACAGTTGTTTCCTGGTAGGAGGGGAAAAAAACATGCTTTGTGGCAAGAAAACAATAAAATTAAAAATGAGCTCATTGAAAAAGAGTAGGATGGAGATCACCAGGAGCTGGGGCTGGGGCTGGTGGGGAGATGGTGATCAGAGGGCTCAAACTCAAGTTAGAAGAGAAGTTCTGGGGATGAAATGCACAGCATGGTGGTTGCATTGTATAATTGAAAGTTGCTAAGAGAGGAGATCTTAAATGTCCTCACCACAAAAAAGTAATGGTAATTATGTGACATGAGGGAAGTGTTAGCCAATGCCATGGTGGTAATTACATGGCACTATGTAAATGTGCCAAATCAACATGTTGTACACCTTAAACTCACACAATGTGTGTGTGTGTGTGTGTGTGTGTGTGTGTGTGTGTAATGCCAGTGACCAGAATGCCGTAATGACTGGAATGACCATACACTATGACACTATGACACCCACTACAGCCAGTGAACCACCCGATGGGCCTCTCCCACCCTGATCGGGGTGGGCTGGCTGGAATCCACCTGTGCATTGAATTCATGCACTGGGCCTCGTGTCAATTACCTATACTAATAAAAGGGTAATATGCTAACAGACCAGATAGACCGGGCAAAGCAACAGTGACTGTGAGAGCTGAGGAGGGCCAGCAGCCGCAGCAGCAGCAGGGGTGATGGGGGTAGCACCTTCCCCTGATGGACCCAGTCTCCCTCCTGCAGAGGGAGACCATACTGCAGTAGAACATCCCTGAGGGTTCCCAGACTTTGAGAGGGGGAAGGCCAGGCTGAGGGACCCCCCTCCCCGCAGTGTATGAATGTTCGTGCACTGGGCCTCTAGTGTGTAAATAAAGCTGAGGAGAAAAGAAGAAAAACATGCTTTGAAGCACATTTAAGGTAGATAGGTAGGTAGGTAGATGGCTCACTCCAGTACTATTGGGAAATATGAACACTTTCAAGAGATGCTAAAGTGTTTATGATTTATCTTCATGTTCCAGTATTTCTTTTACCTGTCACAGGCCTCACTCTCAGACTCTTTAACGGAGGCCTGGGCTCTGGATCTTTCTGAAAAGAGGGTCTTTCAGTTTGATCTCAACTGAAAGGCACCATGTCCTTCTCCATCCATGCCCCCTCACCCAGTCCTAGAGCGCCCTAAGAAATCTGTCGGGGGAGGGAAATCAGAAACTGCAGAACCCACCTCTTTGGGATATCCTTGCTCATGGGAGGGTTTTCTTAGCCTACTCTGTGACCTAGCCCAGGACATACTGTGCTGATCTACTGCTTCTCTGTTGGCAGTGGCCAGCTGCATTCTCCTGCTGATCAGTATTTTCCTTCTGAGTGTGCTCACCTGGCAGCGGAGACGGTGAGTCCCTTATGAAGGAAACCCTTGCCCAAGCTATCTGTGAAGCCAGAGTAGGAAAAGTCTCAGGGCAGAGATATCCGGGTCCCCAGCACTCCCCATCCTCCTACTACCCACCAGCAGTTTGGAGCATAATAGAGGGAGAACTGGCCAAGCATGCAGTCCCAAAGAGTCAATCAACAAAATTACAGCCACAGGGAATTGAAAGAGCAAAGGAAACTAACATTTGTTGAGCACCTACTGTATACCAATTTCAATGCTTGTCTAATAAACATTATCACAACATGTCTTCTCAGAAATCTTCTCATAGCTACATCGTGAACAGATTAAGTAACATAAACTAGATTACACAGCAGAGCTCCAAATGCAATTTGAATAGAGATCCCAAGGCCTTTCTGCCCAGTCACCTGTCTAGAAGGAAGCTAGGTCCACCCTAAGCTTCTTCTCTCCTGAGCTCTCATTCCACCTCCTGCAGACACTCACACCAGAGTCTTCTTGGCCAGGAACATGACTGATGTGTGGTCTTATTTCCACTATCTTGGCTGCAGATTGGAACAACCAGGAGTTATTTTTGTAAATTGATTTTAGAGAGAGGGAGAGAGAAAGACACACACACACACACACACAGAGAGAGAGAGAGAGAGAGAGAGAGAGAGAGAGAGAGAGAGAGAGAGAGAGAGAGAGAGAGGACATTCTGCCTTCTCCTGCCCAAACACTGACCAGGAATCAAACTTGAAACCTAGGTATGTGCCTTGACTGGGAATGGAACCTACCACCTTTTGGTGCATCGAATGATGCTCCCACCAGCCAGGGCAGGAGATAGTCTTTAAAATACTAATGCTTAGGTCCCAACCAAAATCTTTGGGGGTTGGCCCTCGAAATTAGTACTTTTTTATTTTTAATTGAGATAAAATTAATTACTTTAACCATTTTCAAGTGCATAACTCAGTGGTTTTAGCAATGTTGGAAACATACCACCATTACCTAATTCTGCATTAGAACATTTCCATCACCCCAAAAAGAAACCCTGAAGTTCCGAATTCCCCTCGTCCCTGGCAACCACTTATCTACTTTCTATCTCTGTGGATTTACCTATTCTGGACATTTCATATAAATGGAATTACACAATATACAACCTCATGTGACTATGAAATACTTTTTTAAAAACTCTTCAGATGCATCAAATACATTCACATCCAATTTTTCCAACTCTGCACTAAGCCATTGGTTCTCAAACTTGATGGGCATCAAAATATCCTGGTGGGCTTCATACAGACTTCTAGCCCTACCCCCAGTGTTTCTGATTCAGCAGGTCTGGGATAGGGCCTGAAAATGCACATTTCTAACACACACACACACACACACACACACACACACACACACGCCCTGCTTCTCCCACCCTTTAGTCAGCAGTCTATAGAGACCTATTATATCACTTTTTCAAAGATCCAGGCTATCCCTACCCCATACAAGAGTACACTCTGGCCCCACCCTAATATAAACTCCCCAGTAAAACCCTCAAAAGATATCCTTCCTTCAGTGATAAGACTTAATACCTCTCAAGGATCTTTTCATCTTGGTAGCTTAAAGACAAAAAGCTTTCAGACATGAAGGGGTGAAGCTATTTGGGGGTGCTCAAGATTGTAGAATGTATGTTGTGAAATAAAGAACAGCCTGTAATCATGAGTCCCACAAACTCCTCCAGAATTACAATCTTCCAGGAGACTCAACCTGACCTCTCTGTCAGAGATTAGTCCAAAATCCTTCCTAAAGTCAAATTTCGTCTAATAATGCCCTCTTATGGCCATACAGAATCCTACATTTGATCTTATTTACCTGCCAGCAATTACTAGGAACTAGTGATGAGCCAGAGCTGGCTTACACTGGCTCCTGAAAGCCAAAGTTAAATTTTCAGGAATTTTACAAACTGTTTTGAAGCATAACCGTTGTGAAAAATTAAAGTCTGCAAACTTACAAATACATTACATTAAATACAAAATTAAATACTCAAAGCTATCACTCTTCTAATTATTTTACTACATTTTACTGATTCCTTTATTCTCAGAGTTTTTTACAGCTATTGTGTCTATATTAAGAAAATATTATATAATGATTTGCTAGTGCATCTCTTTCCAACTCTGTATTCAGTGATGTCACTTTGGTAGCCTGAAACTAGGTATGATAGGAGTATTTACATATGGAAATTGGCAAATTTTTTCAGAGAGCTGGTTGGATATACATTAAACTTTTCCCAGCACAACACTTATCAAAGCCTTGCCTCATGGAGCTCTGAGCAAGATAGAAAGCAACCAACGGGGCTAAATAAAAACTCGGGAAAATAAGCACCGTTTTGTCTAATATGGTATACACTAGTTACATGTGGGTATTTAAGTTTAAACTTATAAATTAAATATAATTAAATATTGAGTTCATTAGTTGCACTAGCCACGTTTATATTTCCATCATCACAGAAAGTTCAGATAGGACAGTGCTGGCAAGAAACTAAGAGTTTTCACTCATGAAAAATTACGAGCACTTTTAGTTGCTATTATTATCCCATTTCTGTAATTATTGTCCTCTACACAATTAAAACATTTTATAGACTATCTCCTCTATAGATGTGGGCCAAAGGTTACACAAACTTCCAGTTAGTTAGATGAATAAATTCTAGGAATCTAACACACAGCATTGTGCTTATCATCAACAAAACTGTATTATATACTTCAAAATTGCTAAGAGATTAGATCTTATATATTCTTACCATAAAAATAAAATGATTATCATGTGACACAACACAGGTGTTAGCTGATGCTACAGTGGTATTCATATTGCAATATTTAAAACATATCAAATCAACATATATACACCTTACTACTCTAGATCTTCACTCTACATTTAATCTCAGTGTATATTGACTACCAAGTCCTACTGTCACACTCTAAAACCTGAACGCACTCCTAAGTCATCCCTCTTCCTTAACCTTCACTTAAAACCAGCTACCATAACCTCCTTTATATAGTATGTCTTGATTCTTTTGCTCCTTTTTAACATACACCCACTGACCCAGTTCATGCTGTAATCATCTCCTGTGTGAATTTACTCCATCATAACATAACCAGACTGTACCACTATCACCCATCTTAAATCCAGCCTCTGTTATAGCTGGACCATTCAAAGGGTCAATGCTACCATTTGTCCCATAAGTAAAGCTTTTGTGAAGCTCTCTGTTGCCCTCAGGATAGGGTCTAAAACCCTCAGTCTGGCCTGATCTTCATGACTTGATCCATCCTGAGTATCATTTCACCACTGCCCCATGCATGTTATGTTCAAAACTTCTTGGGTTCTCCCAAACATTATGATACTCCCTCTCACTGCTTCCCCTCTCCCCACACCCCCACTATCTCCTGCCTTTTTAAAATCTGGCCTCAGACATCTTAGGCACCTTCAACTCTAAAAGCCTTCTTGGCACCCCCACATATGGTTAAGTGCTCATTTTCTTTGTTCCTATAACACCTTAATCTTAGGCTCCAACAAATTATATTAAATTCTCTATTTGTTCCCTTCTCTACTAGTCTATAAGCTCCTGAGAAAAGAAGACATTTGTATTTATCTTCAGGCTCCTGACAAGTGCCTGACACATGGCAAATATTCTTTTTAAAAAATTATATATATATTGCCGAAACCGGTTTGGCTCAGTGGTTAGAGCGTCAGCCTGCGGACTGAAAGGTCCCAGGTTCGATTCCTGGCCAGGGCATGTACCTTGGTTGCGGGCACATCCCCAGTCGGGGGTGTGCAGGAGGCAGCTGATCGACGATTCTCTCTCATCGATGTTTCTAATTCTCTACCCCTCTCTCTTCCTCTCTGTGAAAAATCAATAAAGTATATTTTTTTAAAAATTATATATATATATACACACACACAACTATATACACATATATAAATATAATATAAATATAATATACATATATGTATACAAGTTCCTGACACATGGAAAATATTCATATATTATATGCAAATATATACATATATAAAATATACATACCTATAACTGTTCAGCCCTAGAACTGACAGGGAAATGGAAGGGCAACCTTGGGCTTTTTTTCAAATTCCCCACTGAATAATGACTGACTTTTCATGCTGTAAGAACCAGGGGGCAGTCTTGGCTTGGGAGGATAGAGAGGACTTGAGGTCAGATTTCAGCATGTAGGAAGGTAATAGTATCCTGGGGTGAAATTTAAAGTTAGCAGATCAACGTGGGCTTAATTGAATGTTCTACCCACATTGGTTTAGGTGGAAACACATTTTTCTAGGTTCAGTATTACACTGATAACTATGACTTAGTTATATCACTACAGGAATAACAGAAGAACACTCTAGAAAGCTAGAGTGGTAAGAAGCTGAGAACAGCCCACAGCAGTCATGAAGCACAAGCAAAATCAAAGAAGTTAAATAGTCACCTAAGCTGCATCTCCTGTGATAACCTTGGGTTTTGAAAAACTCTGACATCACATCACAGAACTACAGGCAACTGCAACCTCATCATGAAGCCAGCTCTGGATCAATGAGTAAGCACAACCTGATTCTAAGTACATCACTGGAGGAACAGCAAGGAGCAACAAGAACTCTCATTCTTATTTTCATGTATATGTAAAGCTTGATGGGCCAGAAACTCTGTCCACACCCTAAATAGTATGAAGAAAACAGTTTAATGTTATTTTCATCCCAACTGCCCAGTTTAGACATCCCAAGGAAAAACCCAGCACTAATGTAAATAGACATACGCACACTCTGTAGCCTACGTAATAGAGGATCTTGTCTCTTAATTCATGTAGCTCCTTTCCCAGCCTCTGAATGACTAGCTCATTCTTCTGATCACATTCCTTACTTCCTTAGATTCCTCTAAGAACGCTGGACTGGTAACTTGAATGCATCTTTTTGTCCTTAGGTCACTCTTCTAAACTAGCCCTGCTTCACTGAACCTTCAATTTTGAATTTCAGAAGAGCAGAGACTATGGCAGAATTATCTTTGGGTAACATCGAGCCCTTGGAATTGTGGAGCTAAATACTTGAAAGGATTTTACTGGAGTTCATGTTGGAAAAGAGGGATAAACTAGGTCCAAGATAATGAATTATACCTATTAAAAAGTGCCACCTATTCATTACTAATAGGTTTCTTTAAGGGTTAGTTTCTTTGAGCATGCTGTAAATGATACTCTGAATTTGTCCTGCAAAAATTTGATATTTGTAGACAGACACATTATGTGCAAATGTGTACTTTTTCAAGTAAGTGTTATAAAAACACCAGTAATAGATCAATGCATTCAATGTTTATGGAAAGAAAGAAGAAAAAAGGGAGAAGTGGGGAAGGAGATCACATTGACAAGATGCAACTATCGAAAAGGCCATACCAGTAGTCCTCAAACTGTTAGCAAATCATAATCCCCTGGAGGCCTTGTTAAAACACAGATGACTGGGTCCATTTCCAGTTTCAGAGTCAACAGGTCTGGATTGGACCTGAAAATGCACATGTCTAACACATTCCAGTTGATGCTGATGATTATTCCAGGTACCACACTTTGAGAACCACTGGGTTCTATCTCTCCGTGCCCTCTGATCCCCAATGCCTACTGAAAATCAGCTCCAGGTGCTGGGATTTCAGTGAAAGTTGTTGTACAGCCTTTTGTGTAAGAGCTCAATCTTAAAATCAGTTGACTCGATGTCACAGTTAAACAAAAAAATCAGATGACCAAGGCGATTCATGAAAAGTTTAAACCTGCAGCCAGTTTTTGTTTGGGAAAGAGCAGAAAAGTCTTATGAAAAATATAGGAAGGTGCCATATCCAGATTAAAGAAACATTTTCTGTCCTTTCCGTGACCAACCAAGTACCAAACAGATTCCATTATTAATATCCCCCATCACTGCCCCAAATTTGTGTTTTCTAGTTAAACTAAAGTTGAGAGGAATTTCAGACCATAATTTTTATTTTATTTTACTTATATTACTTGAGTAACATTGAAGTAACATTACTCATTTTGGAGGAGGGAGTTCTATGAGATCAAAATTTTTTCATAATAATTAAGAAGTTAATTAACCTTTTTAACTCTAATTCTCTTATAAGTGTATGGTGGAGTTTTCCAGAAACTACCTATGTGATCATGTCATCATTTGGATGTTAACATACAATGAGCTTATTACTGTTGTTTATAAAGAAATTAATAAATCATATTTTTAAAATTCCTTGGTTTTAGTATCTAAATACGGTAAGTACCACTAGCTGTAACTATTTAAACAAAAGGTCTTGGCATCCTCAATACTTTTTAATAATATACAGAGCTCCTAACAAATAGCTAATAACCACATCATCATTGATCATTTCATAAATGCAGATCAAAACCACAATGAGATTTCATGTCATACCTACTAAGATTACTCTAAACAAAACAAACAAAAAAAGGAGAAACCTGGCCAGTGTGGTTCAGTGGTTAATCACTGAACTATGAACCAGGAGGTCACAGTTCGATTCCCAGTCAGGGTACATGCCTAGGTTGTGGGCTCGATCCCCAGTAGGGGCCGTGCAGGAGGCAGCTGATCAATGATCCTCTCATCATTGATGTTTCTATCTCTTTCTCCCTCTCCTTCCTCTCTATGAAATCAATAAAAATATACTTTTTAAAAAGAAGAAGAAAGAAAAGAACAAATGTTCACAAGGATGTGGAAAAATTATGGAGAAATAGGAATTCTTTTTTTTTAATATATTTTATTGATTTTTCACTAAATCGATAAATTTATTCATTTATTGAGAGGAAGAGAGAGGGATAGATAATTAGAAACATCGATGAGAGAGAATCATCGACCAGCTGCCTCTTGCACACCCCCTACCGGGGATGTGCCCAC